TATCTCCTCTATCCACACTAGTTACACCAAAGAAGACAAACAGCTTTTGGGACAGGTTATATATAGGCACTTTTGTTCACAGTTTAATTTAAAACTTAAATTAATGTAATTCAATGTAATCTGAGGCATTACAGTGTTGTTTCTTCATTACTTTTGCTTCTGTTTCTTCTGTATTTTGCAGTACCAATACCATATCTTTACATGGTGTTTTACAATTTCTAAAACACTTTTCTCACTTATAATCTCCGAAGTCCCACAACAGCCTTGGGCAGTAAAACTTGCACTGACATTAGAGAAAACCATGTTTTCTTTTTCTTTCTTCTATTTTAAATAGAGATGGTGGTCTCGGTATGTTGCCCAGGCTGGTCTAGAACTCCTGGGCTTAACGCAGTCCTCTTGTCTTTGCCTCCCAAAGGGATGAAATTACAGGCATTAGCCACTGTGCCTGGCAAAGAAAACCATGTTTTCAACACCATCAATATCACAGTTTTGTAAAACCAGAGGTATACTGGTAAACATTAAATAATCGGTAAATGTTTAACAATTACCTAGCTGAGGATATGGAGAACTCTGATTATAGAGTTTGCCAATTTCACTGGCCTAAATACTCACAGCATGGCTAATTTCAAACCAACACTGGGATGTCAACTGACTACCAAAATTTCTGAGAATGTAACAATTAGCTCTCACAAACCGGAGGAAGCCAGTTCTAGCACACTTCTTCATCACTTTAAATTGAATCTAAGGCCAGGTGTGGTGGCTTACTCTTGTAATGCCAGCACCTTGGGAGGTTGAAGTGGGCAGATCATCAGTCCAGGAGTTCAAGACCAGCCTAGGGAACATGGTGAAACCTGATGTCTACTAAAACTACAAAAATTAGCCAGGCATAGTGGCGCTTGCCTGTAGTCCCAGCTATTTGGGAGGATGAGGTGGGAGAATCACTTGAGCCCGGGGAAGTCGAGGCTGCAGTGAGTCGAGAGGGAGCCATGGCACCCCAGCTCAGGTGACAGAATGAGACCCTGTCTCAAAACAAAAACAATAACAAAACAAAACAAAATAAAAGTTTCCATATCTTATTTATTGTATAAGAAAAGTAGTTATTGTCCCTTTCTTTTTTTCTTCTTCCAGGCTAGACTGTGGACAGATTAAGCCAGCTTTAATAACGAGAATAAATATTTTATTCTATGGTCAAAATGGGTTAGAAACCTGGTTCCCTGAAAGATCTCATGGAAAAGAGCTGCCCACTTAGCCCTGGACTACTTGCCTACCTCTGTACTGTTATGTGAGAGAGAAATAAACCTTAATCTTTGAGTTACTATATTTGTAGATCTCTTTGCTATAGTAGCTTAGTAACCTCTCAGAAGAGGCAACATTTAAGCTAAGATCTAAATGACAAGAATGAACAAGCCATATACCAAGAGGAGAGAAAGAGCATTTCAGATAAATGAAAATGACGTAAAGGGAGACAGGTCAGAACGGCTGGAGTAGAGAAAGTGAATGGTAGAGATAAGGTTGAAGGGTTGAAGGGTAATTAACTCAGGACCAAATCACTTAGGGATTTGAAGACCAGGGTAAGAAATTTTGATTTTAAGTGTAATGAGAAACCAATGGAGAATTTTAACAAGTGTCATATTGGAGTTATATTTTAAAAACATCATTCTATCTTGGGCTATGGAGACACTTAAACAAATAAAAACAAAAAAACAATCACTCTAGCTGTTCTGTGTTAAATCAAGTGAGGTGGCAAAGTGAAGACAAAGACTACTATACTTAGAAAGCTACTGCAGAAGCCCAGGGGAGCTAATTTTATGCTCTGAACTAGGGTGATGGTAGAAGTAAAGACAGAACAAATTCTTGAAATGTTTTAGAAATATCAGCACAGCTAAAGATAAGTTGGATGTAGGACAATGCAGGAAAGAGCGGAATCATTGATGATTTTGGGTTTAAGCAACAACTATTTAATGAGGTGATTTGTTGTGTAAAGGGCGGACCATAAAGAGGTAAGAAAAGATAAGAGTAGAGAAGGAGAGGTCAGCAGGAAGCTTGAGTTGAGGATAGCTGGGTTTTGTTAGTGTTTTTCACATTTGTGGGGAGGAGGCAGATTGTGCTGTGAAAAAGAACAGCTCTTTTCTAATAATGGTAGCTTCTATATGCTTGTTAAGCATTCAAATAGTCAGGCAAGTCTCTCAAAGGACTGAAATTCAAGGATGATGTCTGGGCTGGAGATATAAATTCGAAAGTCATTAATATTACAGGTGGGTCATAAAGCCATGGACTGGATGAGGTAAGTCACCTAGGGAGAAAATGTATATAGAAGAGAGGAGTAGCCAAGAGCACTGCAGCATTGGGAAGAAAATTCAGATGTACAAGGAAAACCAAAAAAAGAGAGATGTCAGAAAAGCCTGGAGACTCGTTTCTAGAAGGAAGGCATAGTTAATTGTGTCACAAGCTATTGAAAGATTGAGTAATGGGGATTGAAACTGTTCATTGGTCTCAGTGGCTTTGGCAACCACTGGCTTTGGCAAGAAGTGGGCCTTGAGAAGTGCCATTTCAGTCAAGTGCTAGGAATAAATACCCATTTGGAGAATTTGAAGGAGAGATAAGGAGGCAGAGACCATGAGTATAAACATGTCTTTACATCTTTTAGGGAGTTTTACTGTTAAGGGAAGCAGAGAAATTGGGTGACAGCTGAAGGTAGAAGTGGGGTCAAGTAAGGATTTTAAAAAATTTGAGTAAGATCTTAATATTAATGATTACTGAAGAGAATAAAGTGAAGGGGTACAATCAGAGATAACTTAAGAAGGCCTAGAGGATGGGAGTCCTTTAAGTGTTTTATGTGTGCAAAGTGCTATGTCCAATGAGCCATTTTTAAAAAACTGGAAATGGGCCAGGCGTAGTGGCTCATGCCTGTAATCCAAGCACTTTGGAGGCCAAGACGGGCGGATCACCTGAGGTTGGGAGTTCAAGACCAGCCTGACAAACATGATGAAACCCCGTCTTCAAAAAAAAAACTGGAAATGTGGGGAAAAAATGGTCACTCTTGAGGGGCTGGGAAAGAAAATCAGTTTAGAAATAACAATAAATGTATTTCAGACATATTGAGTTCAGGAAAATACTGAAGCAAAGATTAACCAACTTAGTACAAGGGATTTTTATTTTTATTATTTCTACAATCTGAAGATAAACCAGAGTATACAAGGAATTTTGAGCTTCAAGATAACAAGAAAAATGATATATTTTACAAAGGACCAATCCAGTTGGTAGAGTCTATTTAAATTATCCTATATCAAATTAACAAGGATTTACTTTGCCAAGATTCTTGGCACTTTTATATTAACTTAAATTGCACTGGGAAAAAGCATAATAGTAGTTGAGAAGCAACTAATTATAAGCAATTATAAGCCAAATTATGTTTATACCACAATTAGTTTTTGAGGTGGTTTAGTAGGCAGATTCTTCAATAAGCAACCATCAAATAATTGAACAGCTTGTAAAACACAGAAATACTTCTTTTATCTTTATTCCAAGTAGAGTAACCACATTCTTTTATCGTTATAAAATAAGCAACATTTATTATCTTTTGTCCTAATCCGCAGTTTGAATCGGATGCTTATAGAACACGGCAAGAGTAGTACGTGTACCTAGCTCACAACATAGCTTCTTTCAACAGGTTTCACCGACACATGAATCCACGTTATTGTAAAACGGTGCTGTTCTGCAGGGTATCTAGAGTGCAAACCCAAACCATGTCTTTTTCAGTGGATTTTTCATGTTGACATTATCTTATTTCATGTTGGGGAAAGTTTTTTTCTAAGGATGATAGTGAAAATTCTTTTTGTCTTGTAACAATAGCAATTTTTATGTCAGCTTGGGTTTTTTCTTCCCATAATTCAAAGTAAAAGTCATAACTTTGTTACAACAATTTTGCCATCTGAGGTTAAACTGTTTGCCATGGCTTGACGACTGTTTTATACTTAACATTGATTAATGAAATATTAGACTGACAATTCTTTAAGTTACCATCAGGAATCCCTGCTATCTTAATTTTCAGGTAACTCCTTCTTAAGTACATGAGAAGACAGCACGGTAAATTTTGGGGAGGGGTAAGGAGAACTTCTATCAATTAATACATAGTTTGATAAAATTCAAAGAAAAACATGATCAAGTAAGTTCAGATTATGTTTAACACCTTCAGTTTCTAGAAGTAGTTTTGCTGAATAAATTCCCACCAGTTGACCTAATGGAGTAACACAATTGCCAGTGCTTCCCGGTGGCTGCTGCGCTCAGCCAACTGCGAGGCACGGCGAGCCACACGGTGGGAGGTGGGTAGAGCCGGAGCCCTCCAAGGCTGGGCGCCACGTTGCTTTTCTCTTCTGAAATGGGAAGACAATGCTTCTGGCTATTGTATAAACCAGCCAAGGACTGCATTCATTCGCACATCAGCCAAGGCGTGAGCAGAATTAAAGCGCCTTCTAATTCGACCCCTGGCAACGTGCGCGTCACGGACAAATGTTTAGTTTTAACGCCTGAATGCGTTTGCCTTGGGAAAACACACTTTAAAGAATGGGCGAGTATCTCAGCAGTCGCGGTGAACTGCACAAGATCAAAACCACAACGCCAACCCAGCGCTGGCCACCGTCCCCGCTGAACCCCACCAACACCCCTAAGGACCCACCCATGTTTTCTGTTAACCATTTTCTTAACAAGCTCTGCAGAGCCTTTCCTCATTCCGTTCCCGCTCTCCCCACCCACTCTGCATTCTATCCGAGGTTTCTAGTCCCCAGCCGGACATCACAGCACCGACTCCCACTTACGGGCCAGGGACAGCCCGAGCCGCAACGCAGTGGGCAGCTCCCGGCGCTCTCCACAGGCCCTCGGCCAGCCAGCCACCACTCGGCCGCGAGTGATTGACAGGCGGCGGCACCTATGGGCCATGGAGGCGGGACTATGCGTCACTTCCTGGCCCTTTAGGGCAGCTGGGTTATATAAAGGCGGTGCTCACGCAGCGCCCTCGCTTACACAGTATGGCCGGCGATATTAGCTAGCGCTCGCTCTACACTCTCTCTAACGGGGAAGCAGCGGAATACAAGAGACTGAACTGTATCTGCCTCTATTTCCAAAAGACTCACGTTCAACTTTCGCTCACACAAAGCCGGGAAAATTTTATTAGTCCTTTTTTAAAAAAAGTTAATATAAAATTATAGCCAAAAAAAAAAGGAACCTGAACTTTAGTAACACAGCTGGAACAATCCGCAGCGGCGGCGGCAGCGGCGGGAGAAGAGGTTTAATTTAGTTGATTTTCTGTGGTTGTTGGTTGTTCGCTAGTCTCACGGTGATGGAAGCTGCACATTTTTTCGAAGGGACCGAGAAGCTGCTGGAGGTTTGGTTCTCCCGGCAGCAGCCCGACGCAAACCAAGGATCTGGGGATCTTCGCACTATCCCAAGGTGGGTCCCCAGGGCGCTCGCTGACATCCGGGCCTGGGGACTGTCGCCGCCGCCGCCGAGGCACCAGTCACGGGTGGGGCCCGGGTTCCCGCAACCTTCAGGTGGGGGCAGGTCTGCGGGCAGGGATCGCTTCGGCGGCCTTGGAAGGTGCGCGGTTTGGGGGAGATCGGCCGTGTCCACGCGGGCCGGATCCGGCTTCTCCCGCCGTCGTTGCCGCGCCAAGCACTGCCCTGGGGGAGGGGAGGAGGCCGGCGCGGCCGCGTGCTCAGGTAACGTCCCGCGCGGGGCGGCGGGCGGCGCGGCCCGTGGTGGTTTTACGGCCCCCGCCTCCCGACTTGCCCCTTGGTAGTAGTTGGCGGCAGGGGCCCCAGGTGGGGGTCGGGGGCGCCTCCGCGGGTTCCCTTCGGCAGGTGTGGCTCGGCCGGCTTAGGCGCTAATTCGGGCGTGCCCGCCTCAGGGAATGGAGGGCAGGAGTGGCGCTCGTTCTTGCCGCGGGCGCCGACCGAAGGGGCCCTCCCGGCCTGGTTTGAGGGGCTAGCGAGCAGGCCTCCCACCCGCGGTGGCCGCGAGCAGCATGTGGCGCTCGAGCGGCGGGGATTGGGCGGGAACAGTCGTGTCGCAGTGGCTGGGCCCCACCGCTGCCCTAACGTGCTCTGCGCCAGAGCCTTTTTGGGGCGGTTGGGCAGACGGCGCAGTACCCCTGGCTGCCCCCGACACGGCCGCGGAGCCCGCCGAGGGTTGCTCACCAGTCTCTTGACCTTGGTTTGTGTAACCTACGGACCCGGCGGGAGCCGGAGAAGTGCGGGTGTAGGGAGGCCCGCCTAGCCCAGGACATAATGCCTCTAATGCCTTAAGCTTGAGCAAAGGAATCTGGGGCCCACTCCCACCGCGGGCCATCAGGCGGGAGAGAATAAGCTGACCGCGCCGAAGAGGCGTTTTAGTTGGTATTACTGTGGAAATCCAAGTTTAAGTAAAAACACAGAGATCCCCTGGCTTCTTGGGCCTTGTTCCCGGCGGCGGTCGCACCAGTAGCCACCCCACTGCCTTCCTAGGCCCTGCCACCGGATTCCCGGCTCCTCTGCGCACAAGTGCGGCGAGTGGCCGTGTGGCGGAGTAACCGGCGTTGCCTGCTTCATTGAGAGGCGGCGACCAATGAGCTCCTGGGACCGACCCGGAGCCTGGCCCCAGGGTGTGGGCCAATGGGCGTTTTAGGAATGTTGGCTGCTCTCGGAGCTGCCCTTGACAAAAAGCAACTGGAAAAGGGAATCCAGGCAGACACGTGCTACCAAGACTTTAAGGCACGATGGGAAGCCCAGTTTCTAGCAGTACATCGTGAGCGATTCCATTGTAGAAAAAAATGAAATAGGTCTAATTTTTCAAGCTTCGCGTGACACTTAAAATGTCTGTAGTGCTTGCTACGTGCCAGGCTCACGTGTAGATTATCGGAAGCAGTGCTTTGGTCATGGAGAAGCTTAGTATTCATTTCACTGACGAGAAAGCTGGTATTTTTGATAGGCGTTTGGTAAAACGATTGTGATCAGGATTATAACCTAGAAAATCTTGGCAAGGAAGAAAGAATTAATGGGTAAGAACAGTCCTAGAAAATGAGTAACAGAAACTGTCACTTTGGCTTTTTAGATGTTTGAGCCCTTAGATAAGTAGTAAGTACATGTTCTTAATAAAGGGAAGAAGTTTGTGTTCTCACCAAGTTCTTGGCGGTTTGGCTCTTCAGAGTTTCCTGAGTCAAAGTGGATGGAGGGGGAAGAGGCTTTTGAAAAAGCAGCCTGCTCTCTCTAAATGTTTAAGAACCATTTTTACTTTGTACTTTAATCAGCCGAAATTGTTTTTCAGTGTGGCTCTTAAAATCATGGCCAAAGTTAAACCTTGAAGGATAAAATATTCCCTTGAGTAGAGTTCATGATTTAGTGCCATCCATTTTGTGGACATGTAGCATTCATTAAACAACTGTTGTCGTCTACCGACACATTGTAACTGTTGTAGAAATAGCAAGTTAAGCAAGAACTGAAAAATCTCTTGATTTAAAGAAGAGGTCCGGTGGTGACCTTTGTAGGAGCATTTTCAGTGACCACTCAAGTCGTTATTTATTTACCAGGTTGTTAAACCAACAAAAAAAACCTGAAATCGATCTTCGATGAATCACCTAAAATCAACGGCCTAGCAAAGAGTATCATCGATGGAGTCTGGTTTGTGGGGATGTGGGGTGCCAGCCCCAGAGACCCCAGGGAAGAATAATCGGTCATCTAGAAGAATAAAGCATGACATGTTTTACTCAAATGACATGATTAAGTGCACAGCCTCTGGAATAGCAAGACTTGAATTCAGCATTTAATAGCTATGTGGGCTGTTTCCTCGTCTCTAAAATGGAGGCAATAATGGTACATAGCTCCTGGAAGAAGTGTTACCAGTCTGTTTATAAAGCATTTTAAACATATGGACATAGAAAGGATTAAGAGAGTGAGAGCCTTAAATGTCCAAAGACAGCATTAGTATCCATGCTAAAGGCAAGGATAACAAGATAAGGTTATTAGGGAGAAAAAAATTCCTGGAAAAATAGCTTTCTAAAACTAATGCAGGAAGAAATAGAAAACCTAAAATAGTCCTAGAACACCTAAATAACTTGAATCAGTCATTAATCATCTAGGCCCAGATGGTTTCTTTGGAGTAAATAATTCAAGGGAGAAAATATCCAACCTTTTTCACTCATTCTGAGAAACAGAGGGAACATGCTTCTCTCTGTTTGCTCATCCCAAAGTCTGAAATATTTTTTTCGCCTAAACGATGTTTACCTTTCATATTTAGATCTGCAATCCATCTGGAATTGATTTTGTGTGTGGTGTGAGGGAATAGAATTCACTTTAAGCAAACTTGGCTCATCAGTCCAAGCTTTAATGCCAAGTTAAGCTGGAATCCTTTCTGATTGTACACTAAACACTGCTTCGCTCTTGAAGACCATTTAAGATAATTTATCTTAGTAAGTGAACAAATTATGTAATACTGAGAAATTTAACAAAGAAACATCCTGTATGATATAGCTTGAGTTAAACAATACTGTTGGCGAAAAGCAGCAGTCTAGGTGTATCCAGATGAATAAAGGACAAGGGAGAGGCAGTTTCTTAGGGGTAACTTGCAGTTTTCTCTAATTTTTCAGATTTTAGGCATGTTGAATAAAAATCAGTGACCATTTAAAAAATGGTTTAGTTGTTAGATCACAAAGTGCTGTACCAAACAAAAGCTTTTTATAAGAAATGGCAGCTTTAGGGAGGGTGAGAGTATTAAGGAGGAAGTCTGTTAGAAAATAGAAAATTTTGCTAAGAGTGATTTTTCAGGACTGGAAATCCTTTTTGCTTTAGACAGCATCACAAACAGACCTGAGCTATTTTTAGTATTTAGGTGGGTTTAGATGGGAAATTGTAATTGAGGTGGAAAGGATGAAAGGTTAGAGGTTTTTTATTTTTATAGTTATACGTGAACATATGAAAACTAGAACTGGTGGGATGTACAGCTGCTGTTACTGTGTTTTACTCAGATTTTATAACTAAAACATTTTTAGTAAAGGATTGGGGCAGTTGCAAAGATAGTCATACCTCAGAGTAACTTTCCCCAAATTCATGCCTTATTTGACTACGTTGTTATGCAGTATTGCCCTATCAATAATTTACATTGAAGGAATTTACAGCCCATTGCCAAAAAACCTTTTAGTGTAATGTTTTGGGGTAGAAATGCTTCCGCTGAAGAATTAAGCTTCTCATTACATTCCTCCCAGCAGTTTCAAAAAGGTTTCAGGGCTGGGCTTGGTGGCTCATGTCTAATCCCAGCACTCTGAAAGGCCAAGGAGTTTGAGACTAGTGTGGGCAACATAGTGAAATCTTGACTCTACAAAAAAATTGAAAAATTATGCGTGCATGGTGGTCTATCCTGGTGCATGTTTGCAGTCCAGCCTACTCAGGGGCTGAGGTGGGAGGATTTTTTTGAGCCATTGGGAGGCCGAGACTGCAGCGAAATGAGATTGCACCACCGCTCTCCATCTGGGTGACAGAGTGAGACCCTGTCTCAACAACAAAAAAATTTCAACTGTTTACAAACCATGTGTCTTTAAGAAGCACATATTGAGAGTAGCAGAAAACTGAGAGGAGTAATTATACTGATTGGGGATAAAAATTTGAGATAGAGAAACAATAATGTGATTATAATAGTGTAGCTGCATTCTGGGTTCATATCTTTGCACAAAAGGAGGCTTATTTTTCTGGGTATCTGAATTGACTGACCCAGGAAGGCATCCTCAGAATCTCAACTTGTGGTCAGTCTAGCTTTACGCAAGAATAATTTGGTTTTAGGATGCTTGTGACCCAAAGACTGCTTACTCCCTGGGGTAGAGGCACCCTGATGAATATCCTACATGTAATGAGAGTCTCTAAAACCTAAAAATATGAGGTAAGATCAGAATTGGGGAACTGCAGTGACTTTGGATAAATGACATGAACTCTGAAACCAGTCAATTTTACATTAGGGAGTAATGAGTAATCTCATGACCTGGAAGCTTTTTAAATAAAAATCTCTTGGTATCCTCAGACGGTGTCTGACCTAACTGGATATGGTGATAGGATCCATGTATTTACTTTTCAGGTGATTAGAGCATAACCCTGCACTAATGGATTCCTTCTGTATTTAAGTTCTTTGTCCTTTTTTTTTTTTTTTTTTTTTTCTGAGACAGTCCGTCACCCAGGCTGGAGTGCAGTGGTGCCATCTCTGCTCACTGCAACCTCTACCTCCCAGGTTTAAGCTATTCTCCTGCCTGAGGCTCTCTAGTAGCTGGCACTACAGGTACACACTGTCACACCCAGCTAATTTTTATATTTTTAGTAAAGACAGGGTTTGGCCATGTTGGCCAGGCTGGTCTCAAATTTCTCCTGACTTGAAATGATTGAGCCATCGTGCCTGGCCCTTTTGTCCATTTTTTAATCACTTTTGTTTTGAGTTGTGTGTAGGTGTTTCTTTTACTTTAAATATTGACCCTTTATCAGGTTACTTGCAAGTATTTTATTCTGTAGTTGTCTTTTTCACTCGTTTCTTTTGATGTAAAGAAATTTTTACATTTTAGATTTTCAAATTTCATTTGTCATTTGGCAATGATCCAAGAAATCAGTGCCAAATCTAACCTCCTGAAGCATTTACCTATTCTTTTAGGAGTTTTATTCACTTTTAATGTTTAGGCCCTTGACCCATTTTGAGTTAATTTTTGTTTATGATGTAAGGTAAAAGTCCAACTTAATTTTATTTGGATGTGGACATCCATTTTCCCCAGCACCATTTGTGGAAGAGACTGTTTTTCCCTGTTATGTAGTCTTGGGACACTTGTTCAAGATACTTGACCTCAGTCATTTACTACTTCTTTTTTTGAGACATAGAATCTTGCTTTGTCTCCCAGGCTGGGGTGTAATGGCATGATCTCAGCGCACTGCAGCCTCTGTCTCCTAGCTTCAAGTGATTCTCTTGCCTCAGCCTCCCAAGTAGCTGGGACTACAGGCCTGTGCCACCATATCTGGCTAATTTTTGTATTTTTAATAGAGATGGGGTTTCAATCAGGCAACACAGAGGTCTTGTTATAATTATCTTGTCCCTTCCTAAGTTCTATTTTTATTAGACCTCAGCCTCTAAGAAAACATTTTAAATATAAAATGTGGCATGCCACCAAAGTGTTGCTTTTCAGACATGCAATTCATGTGCTCTTATTAATATAGAATATCTATTTCTTTGGGATCATTTATCATGATCTCTGATTTTATTTAATATTTTAGTACCTACTCTTTAAGTGAAATTAGGATATCTCAACCTCAGCATTCTTGACATTTTGATTCAGGTAATTCATTGTTGTCAGTGATTATCCTGTTAATTATAACCTGTGTAGCAGTGTCCCTGGCCTCTATCCACTACATGCTGGCAACACCACCAACACCCCAGATGTAATAAAAAATACCTCCAAATGTTGCCACATGTCTCCTGGGTGGCAAAATTATCACAAGTTGAGAACCACTGAGTCAGATCAAAGAAATGGCATTTAAGATGAGAAAAAGGGATGGGAGGGAGGAATAAAAAAAAAAAAATGAGAAAAAGGAATTCAAATCAGAAAATACTCGTTGTACATATTTCTTTGGGTTTTTATATGCACCTAAGAATCGTGTGGTTAAGTCCAGGCATGGTGGTGCAGACCTGTAATCCCAGACCTGATACCCTGTCTCTACTAAAAATACACACACAAAAATAGCTGGGCATGGTGGCACATGCCTGTAATCCCAGCTACTCGGGAGGCTGAGACAGGAGAAGCGCTTAAACCTGGGAGGTGGAGGTTGCAGTGAGCTAATACCGTGCCACCACTGCATTCCAGCCTGGGTGACAGAACAAGACTCCATCTCAAAAAAGAAAAAAGAAAAAGAAGAAAAAACAATTGTGTGTTTAAATAGCTTTATAGTAATTTCTAATGACTAGATCAGTATTATGTGGTCTGTAATGTGAACAAATCCCAAAGTCACCTTGCTATCTTGCTTGTCTTGATTCAGCTTTATAGCCATCACCTTGATTTACTGAACTCTGTTTAAATAGCAAGGATTGCCAAATTGATCTGTTTGAATAGAATAGTATGGTTTTTGTTTTTGTTTTATTTTTGAGACAGTCTCACTCTTTCACCCAGGCTGGAGTGCTGTGGTGCGATCTCGGCTCACTGCAACTCTCCCAAGTTCAGTCAATTCTCCTGCCTTAGCCTCCCAAGTAGCTAGGATTACAGGTGCATGCCATCACTCCCAGCTAATTTCTGTATTTTTAGTAGAGATGAGGTTTTACCATGTTGGCCCGGCTGGTCTCAGAACTCCTGACCTCCAGTGATCCGCCCACCTCAGCCAACCAAAATGCTGGGATTACAGGCATGAATGAGCTACTGCACCCAGCCTTAATGTTGTCTAGTGTTGTAATTATAGATATGTGATTTAGAAAATGGCTTTGTCAACTGTATAAAGTACTTTGTCTTTTCCATCATTAATTTGATCAGAAAGCAGAGCACTGAAAATCTTTCCATCAAAACAAGAGTCAGCAAACTTTCTGTAAAGGACTGGAGAGTAAATTTTAAATTTTGCAAGGCAGACAGTCTCTGTTGCAACTACTCAGCCCTGCCCTCATAGGAAGAAAATAACCATAGACAATGTATAAATGAATGAGTGTGGCTAGGTTCCTGAGCTTTATTTATAAACGCAGGCCATTTTTCCCCACAGAAATGTGATAGAAATAATTTATGTTGAAATTTTCACCTGTTGCAGAGTTGGTTTTTCACCTACTTTATGTACATGTATAGTATTGTATTGACTTCTTTTTCTTTCGCTCTCTTTTTTTTTTTTTTTTTTAAGATGGCTTTTCGCTCTGTTACCCAGGCTGAAGTGCAATGGCACGGTCTCGGCTCACTGTCACCACTGCCTCCTGGGTTCAAGCAATTCTGCTGCCTCAGCCCCCACAGGTAGCTGGGACTATAGGCAGATGCCACCACGCCTGGCTAATTTTTGTATTTTTTGTAAAGACGGTGTTTCACTATGTTGGCCAGGCCGGTCTTGAACTCCTGACCACATGAGCCACCGCACCCAGCCATCTTACTCATTTTTCTTATTGTCATCTTTCTTGCCCTCTGATTTGTTTTTGTGGAGCCCAGCAACTCTGTTAAGATACGCGTTTATAATCACTAGGTTAGTTCAACTGTTTGTCCTAGTGTGCTTAAAGTAATTGCGTTCTTTGATACTATGACTGAAAAATTGACTACTGGAGCATTACTATTAGTTGGAAAGGTTTGGATGGAGAATTTTATTAACTGATGTTGAATGAGTATAAGAGTATTTTGAAGCCAGATGGGTTGGCATGTGCCTATAATCCTAGCACTTTGGAAGGCCAAGGTGGGAGGATCACATTAGCCTAGGAGTTTGAGGCCAGCCTGGCCAAGATAGACCTCATTTCTCCAAAAAGTTAAAAGTATATTAGCAAGGTATAGTGACACATGTCTGTGGTCTCAGTTACTTGGGAGGCTGAGGTGGGAGGATCTCTTTGAGCCTGGGGGGCCAAGGCTGCAGTGAGCTGTAGATTGTGCTGTTGTTTTCCAGCCTAGGCCTCAGCGAGACTGACTGGCTCAGAAAACAAAAGTTAAGGTTATTTCTTTCTGCCATTACAGAAAAAGGATGCTACACTGTCTTCACTTATTAAAATGCAATTAATAAACCTTAGACAGAAAGCATCGTTGAGCAGCTATCGAAGGACTCAGAAGTAAATTTTAGCAGGTGAATTGGAAAGCCAGAACTTTAAATTCCACTGAACCAGCAGTGAATTTCCTGTTTTTTTCCTCTCTGGTGTCTACTGGGCTTGCCAGAAACCCAGAATTGAACAGTAGGGGCAGGCAGAAATAGTTCCAAGAAAGGCTCTCTAGTTCTGGTCTGCAAAGAAAGAGAGGCCCCCTTTTAGTCAGAAGGAGGAATTCTCTTTTTTGCTTTTGTTTTGTTTTGTTCTGTTGCCCCAACCCCCTTGTAAGCCTTCAGCAGCTGTGGTAGTTAGGCAGATGCCTAAAATGACAAGAGAAGGGGATCCTTTTTAAATTAGAGGGGCCGGGTGCGGTGGCTCACGCCTGTAATCCCAGCACTTTAGGAGGCCGAGACAGGTGGATCATGAGGTCAAGAGATCGAGACCATCCTGGCCAACATGGTGAAACCCCGTCTCTACTAAATACGAAAATTAGCTGGGCGTAGTGGCTCGCGCATGTAGTCCCAGCTACTTGGGAGGCTGAGGCAGGAGAATTGCTTGAACCTAAGAGGCGGAGATTGCAGTGAGCTGAGATTGCACCACTGGACTCCAGCCTGGTGCCTGGCAACAGAGCAAGACTGTCTCAAAAAAAAGTAAACTAGAGGAACTATGGTCCCAAGAGCAAAGAGTATCATAGTGGAATCTTTGGGCTGGTGTTTTCTTAATCTTGCTCCTCTCCTCACTTGGCCCTAGAGGGAGACACAGTTACATGCAGTCTGCTGCAGAGTGTAGATACTAAAACTCTGTTTCATTTTGAGAGGGTCTCTCTGTTGCCCAGGCTGGAGTGAGGTGGTGCAGTCATAGCTTACTGAAGCCTCAAAGTCCTGGGTTTATGGAATCCTCCTGCCTCAGCCTTCTTTTTGCTCTTGTTACCCAGGCTGGAGTGCAATGGCGCGATCTCGGCTCACCACAACCTCCGCCTCCTGGGTTCAGGCAATTCTCCTGCCTCATCCTCCTGAGTAGCTGGGGTTACAGGCACGCTCCACCATGCCCAGCTAATTTTTTGTATTTTCAATAGAGACGGGGTTTCACCATGTTGACTAGGATGGTCTCGATCTCTTGACCTTGTGATCCACCCGCTTTGGCCTCCCTAGGTGCTGGGATTACAGGCGTGAGCCACCGCGCCCAGCCTTGCCTCAGCCTTCTGAGTAGCTGAGATCACAGGCATGCGCCACCACACCTGGCTAATTTTTGTATATATTTTTTTTGTAGAAACAGCTTGAAGCCTGAACCAAACGAGATTGTCTGCTAAAAGTTTTTAAAAATCAAGACCTAGAATGGTGTAACATGATCCAAATATGCAATCCTAAATTAATTAACATACGAAAAACCAGGAAAATCTCAGAGGAAAAGACAGCAGACATCAACTTCAAGGGGACACAGACCAACATTTTAAAGTAGCTGTGTCACAACCATTCTACAAGTTGTAAGGGGGAATACTTTTGTTTTGTAAGAGAGTCTTGCATGTTGTCCTGGCTGGAGTATAGTGTTGTGATCATGGTTCCCTGCATCCTCCACCTCCTGGGCTCAAGGAATCTTCCCACATCAGCTTACTGAGTAGCTGGGACTACAGGCCTGCACCATCATGCCCAGCTACCCCTTTTTAAGTTTTATTTTTAAGAGACTGGGTATTGCTATGTTGCCCAGGCTGGTCTCGAACTCCTGGCCTTGTAGTCCTTCCATCAGGGGTTCTCTGAACTATGATGTCTGGCCATAACAGCCTTGAAAAAAAAAGAGAGAGAAACAGGCCGGGCGCAGTGGTTTATGCCTGTAATCCCAGCACTTTGGGTTGCCAAGGCAGGCGGATCATGAGATCAGGAGATTGAAACCATCCTGGCCAACATGGTGATACCCTGCCTGTCTCTACTCAAAATACAAAAATTAGCTGGGTGCAGTGGTGCACACCTGTAGTCCCAGCTACTTGGGAGGCTGAGGCAGGAGAGTCTCTTGAGCCCAGGAGGTGGAGGTTGCAGTGAACTGAGATCCTGCCACTGCACTTCAGCCTGGCCACAGTGCGAGACTGTCTCAAAAAGAAAAGAGTGTTACACTGTTTAGTTCAGCCATGGGACATGTTTAAAAGTCTTAATAGAAATGACGAATATAATGGAGAAAGGGAGGGTTGGGATTTGCTAGTGTGTCCATTGGGTAAAAAAATATATGCAAGAAGGCTAACTTGTACTTGGAAGTCGGTGATGATTTAAGCAGGTAGCATTATCGATAGATCTGAATTAGATAAGCGCTTAACAAAAATTCTTAAATTTTACTTAATGCTTCTAATACTTAATGATAGTGGGTATTTTTATTTACCTTCATATTCAGGATTTGGAGTCTAATAGTACATAATTTTTGTACTAATTTTGTAAATTTATCTTTATCAAGTGAAGCAGGATTTCATTCCCACCAATAAAGTTATTTATTTTTGAGATGGAGTTTTGCTCTTTTCACCCAGACTGGAGTATAGTGGTATGATTTCGGCTCACTGCAACCTCCATCTCCCATGTTGGATCTCCTGCCTGCTTCAGCCTCCCAAGTAGCAGGCATTACAGGTGCCTGCCACCATGCCCAACTGATTTTTGGAGGTTTAGTTGAGATGGGGTTTCACCATGTTGGCCAGGCTGTTCTCAAACTCCTGACCTCGGGTGACCCACTTGACTTGGCCTCCCAAAGAGCTGGGATTACAGGCATGAGCCACTGCTACCAGGCAAAAAAAAAAATTTTTTTTTAAGAGGCAGTCTTTCTCTGTTGCCCAAGCTGGAATGCAGTGGTAAGATCTCAGATCATTGCAACCTCCACCTTCTGGGTTTAAGTGACTTTTCTGCATCAGCCTCTGGAGTCGCTCGGATTACAGGTGTGTCCCATCATACAAGCCATGGGTAATTTCAAGGTTTGTCATAGTATATGTCCTGCATATGTATTCTTTCCACGTATGAACAAATTGTTAGCACCTTTTTTAAAGAACCTTACAGTTTTTTAATAGCTCTTTTTTAAAAGTTGCTGAGTAATGTTAGTCAAATACAGGAACTCAGCTCTGTAATCATTGGCAAGCCTAACACATTAAAGATTTTTGAATGGGTATGGGTATGCAGATGGGTCAATAACAGTTTCTTATAGCAAAATGGTGAGACAGGCACAAAATTCTACCAGGCTTGCGTGGTGTTGTGCTTGCTTTTTAATACAAACGAAGAAAACATTCTGCTGTTGGATTTCTCTTAAAAGGTCTTATCTGGTAATCCCAGCACTTCGTGGGGCTGACGTGGGTGGATCACGAGGTCAAGAGATCAAGACCATCCTGGTCAACATGGTGAAACCCCATGTCTACTAAAAATACAAAAAATTAGCGGGGCATGGTGGCACGTGCCTGTAATCCCAGCTACTCAGGAGGCTGAGGCAGGAAAATTACCTGAACCCAGGAGGAGCCGGAGGTTGCGGTGAGCCAAGATCGTGCCATTGGACTCCAGCCTGGGTAACAAGAGCAAAACTCCGTCTCAAAAAAAAAAAAAAAAAAAAAGGTCTTATCTGATTAAGAAATGATTTGCTGACTGGGCACAGTGGCTCACACCTGTGATCCAGCACTTTGGGAGGCTGAGGCAGGCAGATCAGTTGAGGCCAGGAGCTGGAGACCAGCCTGGCCAACATGGTGAAACCCTCTCACTACTAAAAATAGATGTGGTGGCATGTGCCTGTAATCCCAGCTGCTTGAGCGGTGGAGGTTGCAGTGAGCAATATCATGCCACTGCACTCCAGCCTGGGTGACAGAGCCTGACCCAGTCTCAAAAAACAAAAGAAATGATTTGCCATTTTTGTGAAATGGCCTGTCAGATATCATAGGTATTTTGCAATTAGATTGGTAAAATTATGCTCTTCTTTTAAGTGTTTCTTAAGGTTAAAAAATTGCAAATTTTATAGACAAAGTATACCATTGAATTTCTGTAATCATTGATGAGTTAATGGCTTGCCTTGGTTTATGGACCTTTTAACATTCTCTTGCCTATTTTTCTTTTAGTAGTTTCTAAATACATAGTATAATGATCTATTGTTTTTTCATGTATAGCATAATATACCTATCCTTTATCTGGATATTCCAATATAGACTATTTTGCAACAAACTAAATGTTGGTGTTCATAAGATAAGCTGGAACAATATTAGTTTAAAATGTGGTCTTCATGGGAAAATGTGAGCTTTGAAATTTTTATGAGTAGGCAGGTACTGTTGTGGATTAATCATAATTTTTTTGTTAAATGATAGATCTGAGTGGGACATACTTTTGAAGGATGTGCAATGTTCAATCATAAGTGTGACAAAAACTGACAAGCAGGAAGCTTATGTACTCAGGTAAGTCCTGTAAAATAAGTGTTAGGTAGCTAACTTCAGTCCTAATGTTATGTGAAACAGTAAATTCCTCTCAGTTGTAGTTCTGTTTTTTTTTTTTTTTTTAAACATTATTTTTAAGAACATGATATAAAAGGAAATGTTCAGTGTAACGTGGGTGTTTCTAGGAAGTAGGTTTTGAAGCCTCACCAGATAGTTCAAGGTGGTTGCCATCTTTTCCTCCCAGTTAGTAAAGAAGGACCTCTTAATCAGAACAGTTCAGGCAGAGGGAAAGTTAGCTTCACTGTACAGATACAGTTGCCTAATTGGTATGCAAAAGCTCATTGCCTTTTTTACAGTTGCAAAGTTAATTTATTCAACAAATACTTTGAATGCTTACAGTATATATTGTGATAGGTCTTGCAGGGGGAGATACTGGATTAAACAGACCCCTCTTTTTTTGGGGGGGGGTGTACGCCAGCCCTGGAGACCACAGTTGGGCAAGGGGGCAAGGCTGCCGTCTCCTCGGCCTCGCCCCCTGCCTGGGCCTACTTTTTTTTTTTTTTTGGAGACAGAGTCTTACTCTGTCCAGGCTGGAGTGCAGTGGCACAATCTTGTCTCACTGCAACCTCTGCTGCCCAGGTTCAAGCAATTCTCCTGCCTCGGCCTCCCAAGTAGCTGGGATTACAGGTGTCTGCCAATGTACCTGGTTAATTTGTATGTTTTTAGTAGAGATGAGGGTTTCACCATCTTGGCCAGGCTGGTCTTGAACTCCTGACCTTGTGAGCCATTGTGCCCAACCTCTTTTTTTTTTTTTTTAACTAAGTTTATATTATGAATATACAAATGTTTATCAAGATGCTTACTGTGTGTCAAGCCCTGCGGTGGTTTTGTATAATAGAAAAAAGAATAGTGTTACTTGCTTTCTTGAGATCCTGATATTTAAAAGTACTAGCCAAAATTGTAAATGATAATTCAATTGGTTGATTGCACCCTCAGTAGTACATTAGTATTGTTATAATATTGTGACTTTTTTCAACTGCAGTGAGAGTAGCATGTTTGTCTCCAAGAGACGTTTCATTTTGAAGACATGTGGTACCACCCTCTTGCTGAAAGCACTGGTTCCCCTGTTGAAGCTTGCTAGGGATTACAGTGGGTTTGACTCAATTCAAGTAAGTAAGCAAACATTTAAATACATTTTCAGGCATAAATGTTAAGGTTCTTATCCTGTAATATGTCAACTAAATAAATTTATATACTCACTGCCTTTGTTAAAATGCATGCAAACACTTGGTAAGGTGTTCATACTTTTAGAGATCTGATTCTCAGGAACAGCAGAAAATATGAAGGAAGCAGATAATAGGATGAAATTCAAATGGGAGAGAGAAATGAAGAAGTCAGACACTTCAGTAGTTAATTTCTTGACATGGTTACTTATAATAATAGATAAATGGTAAGAAGAGAAGGAAAAGCAAGAAAAATGTTATTACTGAAATTGTCCAGTCTTTATAATGAAGAGTTATGTTGAAGAGCAACAGTCAGTATTGAATTAAATTCTCACACTTTTCAAGAACTAAGTTGTTTTACCTAGAGTATAATTTTCTGAAACTAGCAGTTACTGAATTTTAATCTTTTTTTTTCTTTTTTTGAGACAGAGTTTTGCTCTTGTTGCCCAGTTCTGTGCAATGGTGCAATCTCAGCTCACTGCAATCTCTGCCTTCCGGGTTTAGGCAATTCTCTTGCCTCACCCTTCCAAGTAGCTGGGATTACCCAGGCGCCCACCACCATACCTGGCTAATTTTTTGTATTTTTAGTAGAGACAGGGTCTCACAATGTTGACCAAGCTGGTCTCAAACTCCTGACCTCAGGTGTTCCACCCGCCTTGGCCTCCTAAAGTGCTGGGATTACAGGCATGAATCACCACACTCAGCCTGAATTTTAATCTTTAACTTCATAAGGAAAGGATGGATTGTCATTAGTACTCAATGCAGTTTTTGTTGTTACATGTTGATCCTTGCAAGGAATCTAAAGCAATATGTGCTTAAAAAAGATGGATGGGGCTTCAGTATGTTGCCCTGGCTGAACTCCCAGGCCAAGTGATCCTCCTACCTCAGCCTCCCAATAGCAAGGACTACAGGCATATGCCACCATGCCCAGCTAGACCTAACATTTTTCCTGTTACAGAATTTCTAAATGTTGCAGTCTCATAAATGTACATTAATGTATAGCTATACTAGAATCAGCTCAGGTAGCTAATTTGTGTATTTTAGAAGTAAAATGTAGGGAGAAATAGTTGAGTTTTGATTTTGCCCAGTTTTGATATGTGGGAAATAGTTGATTCGTTTAGAAAAAATGATTGAATTCTACATCTAAAAGTTAATTTTTTTTTTTTTTTTTTAATAAAGAGCTTCTTTTATTCTCGTAAGAATTTCATGAAGCCTTCTCACCAAGGGTACCCACACCGGAATTTCCAGGAAGAAATAGAGTTTCTTAATGCAATTTTCCCAAGTAAGTTGAAATAAAATACAAACTTGTTGTCTTCTTTATTTTTCTTTTATTTTTCCCCCTCCCCGCTGTTGTCTTCTTAAAGATAGAAAGTGGAACCTCTAAGAGATCTTTCAATATATGAGAGCATACATATGCAGACATAGTTTTGCTCTTGTTTTTGCTTTGTATTTGCTTTGCTGTATACACTAATGTTTGCTTTCCTTGTGAGTTTTTTGGTTTGTTTTAGATGGGGGTATTACTCTGTCACCCATGCTGGTGCACTGGTGTTATCACAGCTTACTGCAGCCTCAACATCCCAGGCTCAAGTGATCCTCCCACCGTAGCCTCCCAAGTATCTGGGGCTACAGATGCATACCACCACACTTGGCTAATTTTTTTTTTGTATTTTTTAGTAGAGACAAGGCTTTGCCGTGTTGCCCAGGCCAGTCTTGAACTCCTGGGCTCAAGTGATCCCACCTGCCTTGGCCTCTCAAAGTCCTAGGGTGTATCACAAGTCAGTGCTGTTTAAATGATGGAATTTTATTTTTATTTTTTTCCATCTAGGAATTGCTTGAGATGGAATTTTAAAATGTAGGATTGATCACCTGCTATCTCTGGGTTTTCATATAGCATAGAGAGAGTTCATCTTCATCTGGCTGTCACCCTACTTTCTGTCTCACTCAGTGGTTCTGTTTGTGTTTTTGTTTGAGACAGGGTCTCATTCTGTCTCGCAGGCTGGAGAGCAGTGGCATCATTATAGCTCACTGAAATGTGAAACTCCTGGGTTCAAGCACCCAGCTAACTTTTATTTTATTTTTAATAGAGACGGAGTCTCATTATGTTGCCCAGGCTGGTCTTGAACTCCTGACCGCTAGCAGTCCTCCAGCCTCAGTGGTCCTTAACATATAGATCATAATGTCCTTTGACAATATGAAGAAGGATATGATTTCTTCCAGAAAAATGCCCAGTCATCTGCTCCAACATTTTATATAACAATTGACCTGGCTTTTAAAAATTACACAGTGTAAATTAGTGTTTCTTGAATGAAATTGGTAAGGGTTTCTTTTCTTTCATCCTTTTAATAAGCGTTTATTTATAGAAGTCAGGGAACTAAAGGTTATCTAATAACATCCTTACTTCCTAGATAAGGCTGAAAACCTAGGATAATTTAATAACTTTGCACAGTCACTCACAAGCATGAAAATCTAACTTAGTACATCTACTAATATGAAACCAAACTAGGTCAGAGTGTTGAGTGTTTAGTGCAAATATCCACCAAGTCAGTTGATCCTGCTTATCTGAGAATTCACCTACTGTTTCTTTTTCTTTCACTGATGACTTTTTTTGAGAAGGAATTTTGCTGTGTTGCCAGGCTGGAGTGCAGTGGAGCAATTTCAGCTCACTGCAACCTTTGCCTCCCAGGCTTAAGCAATTCTCCTGCTTCAGCCTCCTGAGTAGCTGGGACTGCAAGCACGCCATCATGCCTGGCTAATTTTTGTATTTTTAGTAGAGATGGGGTTTCACCATATTGGCCAGGATGGTCTTGATCTCTTGACCTTGTGATCTGCCCAACTCAGCCTTCCAAAGTGTGTTGGGATTACAGGCGTGAACCACTGCGCCCAGTCCCTTTTTTTTTTTTTTGAGACGCAGTCTCGCTCTGTTGCCCAGGCTGGAGTGCAGTGGCATGAGATCTTGGCTCACTGCAGCTTCTGCCTCCCAGGTTCAAGCATTCTCCTTCCTGCCTCAGCCTCCTAAGTAGCTGGGAATACAGGTGTGTGCCAACATGCCCAGGTAATTTTTGTATTTTTAGTAGAGACGGGTTTTCACCTTGGCTTTCCCCAAAGTGCTGGGATTATAGGCGTGAGCCACTCCGCCCAGCCCACTGATTGGTGACATTAGTATCATTGTGCTTACTGTGGGAGGGTAGTAACCGTCCAGTTAAATGGACATGTTATATTTATTTTATATTGTCTTCCCTCAACAGATGGAGCAGCATATTGTATGGGACGTATGAATTCTGACTGTTGGTATGTTTAATGCAATTTTGTGGATTTTTGTTGTCCTATGTGAGATTTAACTTAAATTGCCAATTGTCATTCTTAGGAACTATTTTCAACTTTTATGTAGGTACTTATATACTCTGGATTTCCCAGAGAGTCGGGTAATCAGTCAGCCAGATCAAACTTTGGAAATTCTGATGAGTGAGCTTGACCCAGCAGTTATGGACCAGTTCTACATGAAAGATGGTGTTACTGCAAAGGATGTCACTCGTGTAAGCATTTTTAGTAATCATTGTTGCTGGATTCTTCTTCACGGGGACTAAATTTTATTTTTCGTTTTTTAAGTTCAGGGTTACAAGGGCAAGTTTGTTACCTAGGTAAACTTGTGTCATGGGTGTTTGTCATACAGAGTATTTCATCACCCAAGTGTTAAGCCTACTACCCATTATTTATTTTTCCTGCTCTTCTCCCTCCTCCTACCCTGGGACTAAATTTTGAACTCATTTGTTTTTATTTGTCAAACCTTTGTTAAACTCAGTCCTTTTCTTTCCCCCAGGAGAGTGGAATTCGTGACCTGATACCAGGTTCTGTCATTGATGCCACAATGTTCAATCCTTGCGGGTATTCAATGAATGGAATGAAATCGGATGTGAGTAGCTACATATTGCTTCAATGATTATTTAAATGTGTGATACTCTTTCCATTCTTAACACTGTGAACTGTTTCTCTCAGGGAACTTACTGGACTATTCACATCACTCCAGAACCAGAATTTTCTTATGTTAGCTTTGAAACAAACTTAAGTCAGACCTCTTATGATGACCTGATCAGGAAAGTTGTAGAAGTCTTCAAACCAGGAAAATTTGTGACCACCTTGTTTGTTAATCAGGTAATTTGATTTTTTTATTGACCATAAAATCTTTTTTTTTTTTTTTTTTTAAACTGACCGACACATCTATTCTCTGATGACTATAAAATCTTAAAGGAAATGAGAACAGTAAGGCCTAAGATGTTTTCTAAGATAGCACATATACTTAGCCACTCACATATCCAGAGGTAATACTGTTTGAGGTTACTGGTAAATGAGAAGCTTTACATGTGTCATCAGACTTCTATCAGTCTTTGATTTCTATCTAGCCAGATTGTTGGGTTCCTCCTGTTTTGCTATTGACAGGCCTGGTGGAAGGACCATAAGATGCCCCAGTCCCTCCAGCACATAAGAAGGCAGCTAAAATAAGTCACATACCTTAGTTTCATTAAGATAAAAGTCTGTTATTTAACTGTTTTGTTTGAAAATACTTGTGGATTGTAAACACTAATGGTTATTTAAATTTCTCCCCAGAGTTCTAAATGTCGCACAGTGCTTTCTTCGCCCCAGAAGATTGAAGGTTTTAAGCGTCTTGATTGCCAGAGTGCTATGTTCAATGATTACAATTTTGTTTTTACCAGTTTTGCTAAGAAGCAGCAACAACAGCAGAGTTGATTAAGAAAAATGAAGAAAAAACGCAAAAAGAGAACACGCGTAGAAGGTGGTGGATGCTTTCTAGATGTCGATGCTGGGGGCAGTGCTTTCCATAACCACCACTGTGTAGTTGCAGAAAGCCCTAGATGTAATGATAGTGTAATCATTTTGAATTGTATGCATTATTATATCAAGGAGTTAGATATCTTGCATGAATGCTCTCTTCTGTGTTTAGGTATTCTCTGCCACTCTTGCTGTGAAATTGAAGTGCATGTAGAAAAAATCTTTTACTATATAAAACTTTATAACACTTGTGAAAGCAACTCAATTTGGTTTATGCACAGTGTAATATTTCTCCAAGTATCATCCAAAATTCCCCACAGACAAGGCTTTCGTCCTCATTAGGTGTTGGCCTCAGCCTATCTGGGACTGTTCTATTGCTGCCAGAATTTTACATTGTTACCTCCACTTTCTAGAACATATTCTTTACTAATATTATTGAAACCAATTTCTACTTCATACAGATGTTTTTTGAAACCGCAATTAAAGTTCTTCCATGAGTCAAGTCCTTAAAAAATGATTCCAGTTACTCATTTTGCATATTTACTATTTTAACATTATTGGACCCTGCATTTGTAGTGCTTTGATTTCTTCCCTCTCCCTGGTGTCTCCCCCAAGACCCCAAATAAAGCAATACATTGTTAACACTGTGGGTTTATATACTAATTCTGTACCCCAGATGAGGAATGGGGGAGATGGTTCCTGGGCTTAACATTCTTTAAAGGGCATGGGAATTTAGCCTTATTTTTGTTTTGTAATGTGCTCTTTTGGAAAGTAGTTGATTAGCAGGGATGACTCAGAGTCATAGATTGAGATTAGAGTGTACTGGCTGAACTGTGGAAAACAAACAATTCTGTGTTCCTCAGTAAATGAGATTAGCATCTAATGAGTAGCATACCTTTACTAACTTACTAAGTAGTGGTATAAAAGGATTTTTATTTAGTTAATTACCAGAGAGATTTAACGTAATTTTGTTCTGGATTCAGTAAATCAAGTCAGCTTGGATCATTCACCTTAACTTTTCCTTTAGCAACCGTTTCCATTAAATAGTGTTCTATAAACTTTGATCCAAAGCAGAATCAATGTCTTTTCATCTTGTGACTTAAAGTTCTGTGACTGTGATGCATGTGAGTGTTCTGACTTCATCTGTTCCTCTAACTATGGTGTTTCCCTCACCATGGCATTCATAGGGTGAAATGTGAATGACTGTCCAGAATGTGAATTGTCCACATTCAGGTAAACATCATGAAGCAGAATACATGAATAAATAAGTAAAACATAACAAAATTATAAAATACTCAATGGAAAATGTCTAGAAATACAGACTTTCAAGAGTTGGTATCTTTTAGGTATATTTGTCAGATACTCTGGGATTTTAAGGAACTGAGAAAACAGCAAAGTTAACTGAATTTTATATTTATTGTCCTCTAAATATTTTGATAATTTCTGGATTGATGCAGTGATGTTTTTGTTCCTTCCGTATTTATAAATGAAACACCTTTTTTTAGTGTTTCTAAACCTAAAATCTACTTGGTTTGAAATCAAGTGGTTGGAACACTGTTTGACTTTTTATTTGAAACATGTTGTTGATTGAAAGTTTCATTGAGGAAGTTTTCAATCAGTGTGATCAATTTGATTCTGTAATGAGCACAGTATCTAATATTTTGAGGTGCTCTGTTTTGAGGACCAATGCTCAAGGTGGACTTTGTTGTTACATAATATCCCAATAGATTTGTTGACTTGAGGTCTGGAGGGTTTTTTTTTCCTTTTTTTTTTCTAATAGAATTAAGAATTCTAATGTTGAAAAACTGCACAAAGTTGTGTGGGACAAAGCCTAGAAAGCAGAAATGTAGATTGAATCATCATCTAAAGCATGATGTGATAGAGGAGGGAAAGTTTGGTGCCATAATTTCTCCTTTCACTGGTGTTGGACTTTAAATCAGTTGAAATGTATTTCTGTACCACAGTTTACGCTTCAATAAAAGTTTAATTGTCTAGTGACATTCAGAAACTTTTCTGTTGCCCTGTTTTTTAAAGTATCCTACTTGACCAAATAAGTTTAAAATCAATATAGCAATGTGTATTTGTGAGTTTAGAGATGAAAGGTTGGAAGTGTTAGGTCCCAACCTTTATTACAGATAGTAGACTCTTGAAACTGGTTGAGGATGATCAAACTGTAAGTTTCCTTATTTCATTCATGGCTATTTCTTTCTGTTAAGTAGAAAGGAATTATAAGCTCTATAGTTTTCTTTATTTTTCTAACTTAGGGTCTTGTTCTGTTATCCAGGCTGGAGTGCAGTGGCTTTTCACAGGTGCAGTCATAGCATATACTGCTTCTTGACTTCTAGCCTCAAGCAGTCATGCAGATTCCCAAGTAGCTGGGACTGCAGGCTTCTGCCATAATGCTTGACTTATCATTTTCTTCATTTGGCAACATTTTAGTTCTGCTGTCAAATAGGTAATAAGCTGAAAATCTTCAGAAAATGTATATTCTGATCTTTTTCAGAATATGCTTCAGTTAGAAAATATTTTCTCAATTTTCATTAAAAACAGATTGTGTCCCTAGAAAAGCAGAATGTTATATATCTGTGCAGTAGGTATTCACAAGATTCATTTGCTGAAAACAGGTGAGTGAAGTCAGTGGTTCATTAATGAGCAGTCATGAATTTTTGATCATAGACACATAAGTGAAAAATGTGATGATATTTTATTCAGGATGGACAATTGTGATGGATTTGTTGGGTTCCAGGCTTCAGGCTTTACATTCGCATCTGCCTTGCCCTTCCTCTTGTCATAATGGAAGAGGTGCTGCTTATTTGGATTCCATCCTTGCCTGCTTTCAGAGACTGTCCTGTGATTTCCTAAAACATTTCCATTAGTTTTACTTCTCTGATTTTCTTCACTTAGGGTCCTCCATAGGCCTCGTTGCTAGTGCCTTGAATGATGGCAAGGGTCCAAAAAAAATTTTTTTTTTTTTGAGATGTTCTTGCTCTGTCACCCAGGCTGGAGTGCACTGGTGTAATCTCAGCTTGCTGCAACCTCTGCCTCTTAGGTTCAAGTGATTCTCATGCCTCAGTCACCCAAGTAGCTGGAACTGGGACTACAGGGATGTGCCATCATACCTGGCTAATTTTTGTGTTATTAGTAGAGACAAGGTTTCACCATGTTAGCCAGGCTGGTATTAAACTCCTGACCTCAGGCACTGCTCACCTTGGCCTCCCAGGGTGCTAAAATTACAGGCGTGAGCCACTGCGCCTGGTAAAGTGTCCAAATTCTTAGTCCAAAACTGAACTTTGGGTCAGACACCATGGCTTACATCTGTAATCCCAAAAGTTTGGGAGGCTGAGGTGTGGGAGGATTTCTTGAGCCCAGGAATTTGAGGCCAGCCTGAGCAACATAGTGAGGCCCCATATCTATAATAAATAAGAGATCGAGGCTGCAGTGAGCTGTGATCACACCACTACGCCAGCTTAAGCAAAAGTAAGACCCTGTCTCAAAAACAAAAATCATGACCTTTGTGCAGTAGCCACCATTTTCCTGAATTCTAAACAGAACCCTATGGTGAAATTTGAAACACATAGCTAGAGGTCTTTGACTTCAAGGTGGCAAGAGAACCATCAAAGAGACATGTCAAGGGATGTCTGGTAAATGGTTGGATATATATGGAGCCCAGACAATAGATTTTAGATTTGTAAACAACATCTTAATTTGGAGAATTTTTTTTTTTTTTTAATTGAGACAGTCTTCGTTGCCCAGGCTGGAGTGCAGTAGCGCTATTTCAGCTCACTGCAACCTCTACCTCCTGAGTTAAGTGATTCTTCTGCCTCAGCCTCCTGAGTAGCTGGGATTACAAGTGCCTGCCACCATGCCTAGCTAATTTTTTGTGGTTTTAGTAGAGAAGGGGTTTCACCATGTTGGTCAGGCTGGTCTGGATCTCCTGACCTCAAGCGATCCACTACCTCAGCCTCCCAAAGTATAGGGATCACAGGCGTGAGCCACCGCTCCCAGCCTTAACGTGGAGAATTTTCAAACCTACAAAGTAAAGTGGTACAATAAACCTTTATATACAAGTTTCGGCACCATTCTAATTTAGCATATCTGTCTACTAACTATATGCCCATCTTTTTAAGTAAAATTTATTTGAACTGAAATACATAAATCCAGCTGGGTGTGGTAGCTCATGCCCATAATCCTAAATTAGCAAAGCATGGTAGTACATGTCTGCAATCCCAGCTACACTGAAGGCTGAGGCAGAAGAATCACTTGAACCCAAGAGGCGGAGGTTGTGGTGAGCCAAGATTGTGCCACTGCACTCTAACCTGGGCGACAGAGTGAGAAATCTCAAAAAACAAAAACCTAAGCTATAATTATGGTAAATGGTTCTCCTTCGCCCACATCTTACCAGGACAAAAGTTCACTTATCTCTACCCAGGCAATTAAGCAATACTCTGACCACCACACTAAATGTTTTCATCATGGACTGAGGTTCATTTATTTCCTTTCCCTGAAACTTTGTAATTCTTTTAAGCATAAATATTGTTAAGGTTCAACGATCCTTATTACTGAGTAGGAGTCTGTTGTATGAATATATTATAATTTGTTCAACTGTTTTCCTGTTAGTGAACATTTTATTGGTTTCTAGTTTTTGGCAAGTGTGAGTAAAGCTGCTATGAATATTTGCACACAAGTATTGTGACTTCTGGGTGTGTCGTGGTATCTTGTGGTTTCAGTCTGCATTTCTTGATGACTAATGAACATGTTCTCATGTGTTTATTGGCCATTAATATGTCTCTGAGTTTGAGTGTATATTTTTAAATTAGGTTGGTTTTTATTACCAAGTTATAGGAACTCTGTATTTCAAATAAAATTTCTTGTCAGTTATTTTGCAAATATTTTCCCCATTGTGTGTGTCTTCACTCTTGATTTTTTGTGTCTTAAACAGAAGTTTCCACTGGAGTCTTAATTTATCAATTTTTTAAATGGACTTTTTTTCTAAATAAATCTGCCTACCTCCAGATTGTTATGGTGGTACTGTTTTCTCATAAAATGTTTAAGCTTTTATGTTTAGGTCTATTATCTCAAGTTTTTGCATGTATTGTAAGGTAGTGTTTGAGGTTCATTTTTCTTACCCCATCAAGTCATTCTAACACTGGAAAAGATTCTTTTCTCCATGTACTTCTGGAGTGTATTCTCTAATTTTTATTTTTTTTTTGAGACAGAATCTCGCTCTGTCACCCAGGCTGGAGTGCAGTGGTGTAATCTTGTCTCACTGCAACCTCTGCCTCCTGGGTTCAAGTGATCCTTCTGCCTCAGCCTCCCAAGTAGCTGGGGCTACAGGCACATGCCACTGCACCCAGCTAATTTTCATGTATTTTTAAAATTTTATTTTTTGAAGCCCCAGATCAATAATTTTCTTATTTTTATTAGAGTCAGAGTTTTGCCATGTTGGCCAGGCTGGTCTCCAACTCCTGGCCTCAGCCTCAAAGGGCTGGGATTACAGGTGAGAGCCGCTGCACCCGGCCTCCTGGAGTGTATTCTCTTTCATTGATTCACTTTTATCTGTCCATGTGCCAATATATACAGATTGCTAAGCTTTCTTGAAGTCAAGTGGTCTGCTTTTGTTTCATTTGCAGATTACTTTGTCCTTTAGACTGTGAAATAAATACAATAATAAACCTGTCAATTTCAATTTTTTTAAGCCTGATGGGATTGTTATTAGAATTGAGTTGAACTGTTTTTTTGTCTTTCAAGATGGAGTCCCTTTCTGTCACCCAGGCTGGAGTGTAGTGGCACAATCCTGAAATCTCGGCTCATTGCAACCTCTGCCTCCCGAATTCAAGCAATTCTCTGCCTCAGGCTCCTGACTAGCTGGGATTACAGGCATCTGACACCACACCCGGCTAATTTTTCCAATTAATTTTTTGTATTTTTAGTAGAGATGTATTTTTTGTATTTTTAGTAGAGTTGGCCAGGCTGGTCTTGAACTCCTGACCTTGTAAGCCATCCGCCTCTGCCTCCCAAAGCACTGGGATCACAGGCGTGAGCCACCGCGCCCAGCTTCTTTTCTTTGTTTCTTTTTTTTGAAACAGTTTTGCACTTGTTGCCCAGGGTGGAGAGTAGTGGCAACCTCCACCTTGCGGGTTCAAGTGATTCTGCCTCACCCTTTCAAGTAGCTGGGATTACAGGTGTCCACCACCACACCTGGTTTTTTTTTTTTTTTTTTTTTGTATTTTTAGCAGAGACAGTGTTTCATTCACCATGTTGGCCAGGCAGATCTGGAACTCCTGACCTCAGGTGATCCACCCTCCTTGGCCTCCCTAAGTGCTGGGATTACAAGCGCAAGTCACTGTCCCTGGCGAGTTTTTTGTTAATTCCTAAGCAGGTTTTTGGATGCTAATCTAAATGGAATTGGTTTCTTTTTCCAACTGTTGCTAGTTTACAGAAAGGCAACTTAAAAAGTTTTGACTTGTATTATGAGACCTTGCTAATCGTGGGTGGTTGGTTGGTTCTTCCCTTATTCCACTGGTTAGGACTTCCAGTATGTGGTGAGTAGAAGAGGTAAAAGATCGTGACTAAGGTGAGGTATGTAGTAAAACGTAAGGAGGCACCGTCAGGGCAGTGGAAGCAGAGTGGGTATCTGAGTGGGAGTACATCCTTGCACCTGCTCCCTCCCTTGCACTTGTTGTACTTTACTTGCTTGGTCTCTTGTGCTGTTCCTATATTAAGGCCTTATATCATTGCCCTGTTCCCAATTTTAGGAAGAAAGCATTGAATATTCCATCAAGAGTGTTTGCTGGTTTTTCTTGAGACAGGGTCTTGCGCTCTCACACAGGCTTGAGTGCAGTGGTGAAATCATAGAGGTGATTTTCTTTTTTCTTTCTTTTTTTTTTTTTTGAGACGGAGTTTTGCTCTTGTTACCCAGGCTGGAGTGCAATGGCGTGATCTCGGCTCACCGCAACCTCTGCCTCCTGGGTTCAGGCAATTCTCCTGCTTCAGCCTCCTGAGTAGCTGGGATTACAGGCACATGCCACCATGCCCAGCTAATTTTTTGTATTTTTAGTAGAGATGGGGTTTCACCAGGTTGACCAGGATAGTCTCCATCTCTTGACCTCGTGATCTGCGCGCCTCAGCCTCCCAAAGTGCTGGGATTACAGGCGTGAGCCACCGCGCCCGGCCCGAGGTGGGTTATTTTTAAGAGACAGGATCTTGCTCTGTCACCCAGGCTGGAGTGCAGTGGTGCAGTCAGCTCACTGCAGCCTCAACCTCTCCAGTTCAAGTGATCTTATCTAAGCATCCTGAGTAGCTGGGACTACAGGCACACACCACCACACCCAGCTAATTCTGTATTTTAGTACAGACGAGGTATCGCCATATTGCCCAGGCTAGTCCCCACCTCCTGGGCTCAAGCAATCTGCCCACCTTAGCTTCCCAAAGTGCTGGGATTACAGGAATGAGCCACCTCACCTGGCCTCTACTGGTTTTATGTAGACGTCTAGATCAATGCTTCTTATTAGATTGAGGTAGTCCCCTTCTAGTTTGCTGAGTTCTCATGAATGGAAGATGTCAGTCACATCCCTACCCCCACTTTTTCTCAGCCATTGAGATGATCATGGTTTGTAATGCTTTATTCTATTAGATACTGTTTCTGTCCTCAGAATGAAATGAGTTTAGTAGTGAAAACAAACAACAAAAAAAAAAAAAACGGAAAAAAAAATGAGTTTAGTAGTGGAACCTGATGACTGAAACAGGTTCTCTAACACTGGGGGCAAAAAAGTGAAGTGTATGGAGTAGCCATTATTTTATTCATTTACTTTCTTAATAAACTTGCTTTCTTAAAGCACTTAAAAAAAATTGTAAAGGCACCTGGGTAGTTCACTGTAACTTTGTGGCCGGGTGTGGTGGCTCATGCTTGTAATCCCAGCACTTTGGGAGGCTGAGGCAGGTGGATCACGAGGTGAGAAGTTTGAGACCAGCCTGGCCAACATAGTGAAACCCTGACTCTACTAAAAGTACAAAAATTAGCCAGGCATGTTGGTGCATGCCTGTAATCCCAGCTACTCAGATGGCTGAGGCAGGAGAATCACTTGAACCTGGGAGGTGGAGGTTGCAGTGAGCCAAGATCGCAGCACTGCACTCCAGCCTGGGCAACAGAGCAAGACTCCCATCTCAAAAGTAACTTTGCCCAGGGTTAGAGAAGCTAGAAATGATACAGCCTAGATTAAAGCTCTGGCAGTCTAGAGTTCATTGTTTTCATCACTGTTATCTCTCAGCTCAATCTTTTAATCTACTTAAAACTTCAGAATTCAATTATTTCATCTCCTATTTTATTTGCCATTTAAGGATTTCTCATCCTTGGTAGCATGTTTGGTTCTGGTGACTTCAGCCTCACCTTTAAGCATTTTATTTTATTTTATTTATTATTATTTTTTGAGATGGAGTCTTGCTCTTTCCCTCAGGTTGGAATGCAATAGCGTGATCTTGGCTCACTACAGCCTCCATCTCCCAGGTTCAAACAATCCTCCTGCCTCAGCCTCGTGAGTAGCTGGGATTACAGGCACTCACCACCATGCCTGGCCAAATTTTTGTATTTTTAGTAGAGATGGGGTTTCACCATGTTGGCCTGGCTGGTCTTGAACTCCTGGCCTCAAGTAATCCACCCACCTTGGCCTCCTAAAGTGCTGGGATTTCAGGCATGAGCCACCGGGCTGGCCCCCTTTAGCATTTCATATGTAAGAGATACTGAGATGAAGCCTGCATCCTTTCACAGACACGCCCACCAAAGCTCTGAAAAGAAAAAAAACAAGCCTGCAAACATGTAGGATAGATTCTAGTTAATGTGTTCTTAAGTTCTATGCAGTCATATATAATTGTGTGCTGAGGAGGAGGAGGTGGCCTAGAAGCTTCCTTTTCTGGGTAAAGGGAGGAAGTAGTGTTGATTCTTCAGTGTGTACTGATAGCCATGTGTTACTATGCACTTGTTCTTTTTATCTTCACATCTTCTCCTCTTGCATTTTAAAGCATTTTTATAATATGTAGTTTTGCCTAATAAAGCATTTTCATAGCAAAAAAAAAAAAATGCATGGGCTGGGCACGGTAGCTCACACTGTAACCCCAGCACTTTAGGAGGCCAAGGTGTGCGGATCACCTGAGGTCAGGAGTTCAAGACCAGTGTGGCCAACATGGTGAAATCCTGTCTCTACAAAAATACAAAAATTAGCCCAGCGTGATGGCACACGTCTGTAGTCCCAGCTACTCAGGAGACGGAGGCAGGAGAATCACTTGAACCTGGGCGTCGGAGGTTGCAGTGAGCCGAGATCATGCCACTGAACTCCAGCCTGGATGACAGATCAAGACTCTGTCCCAAAACAAAAAAACTACATGGATTTTCAGTTGAAAATAACTGGATGAGTATGAATTAAATGCTGGTCTTACTGGCAGATGCTGAGAATATAAAAAGAAATGAGCTGAAGTCTCTGACCCTTGGGGAGGTTAGTCTAGTCTCTACTTACAGAGGAATTATATATGTTAACAACATGAGGGGTTACAGAATGTTGGAAATATATGCTCGGTGCTGCAAAAAAAAAATTAGCACTGAGACAAAGGATGTTTCAGCAACGCAACTTTTACTTCCTGGACTGCAGGAAGGGTACTCCTGATGGCTGTCGTGCCATGAGAGTTCAGGGACAAAGGGACACACACAAATTTATTCCTTATGCCTTTGGGGTCGTCCTTACTGCTGTGTCTGATCTCCATTGGCTGGTGTCAGACCTCACAATCTAAACTAAAACCCAATTGGCTAACATCTTAAAACTTTTCTAAATGGGTAAAAGCAATGGAGAGCTGGGACATGCCCGTGTGCAGGTCCAGCACAGGTAATCTTGGTTAAAGTACA